GTTTATGGGGATACCAGGTTCCTGCTTCTCCGGAGCGAAGCAAAATCTTGTCAACTTCGCAGACTGTGGTCACTGCCACACTGTTCTTTTGTTTCTGTTTGAATTTGTGCCCGCGCTAACCAAGATACTACCCTACGAACAGTCGAACACGGACTAGACGCATATTTGAGAGTGGTCTCATGGAAGAGAACTACTAGCTAGCTAGGTTTATTATTTAGGAAGTACACAGTACTAAAAAAACTAGTGCGAAGTGTATACGTGCAGTGGCAGCCCCGTTCGTCTCGCTAAAACTTAACTGAAATTAGCTTAAAACATGGTTCTAACTAAAATATTGTGAGAAAAAAATACTACTCGATTAAAAAATCCGATCAAACCGAATACGAAGTAAGCCGAAAACGGGGGCCTCACAGCCAACCATTTTGCGACCTAACAGTAATACACTGTAGCGGTTATGACTGCGCCCATGCGGCCACGCCCCCGTGCTTAGCGCGGTAACTTTGGGCTTTACTAGGCCGCGTTTAACAGTAAAAACACTGTAGCTACAGTATGATTTTGCGCCCATCGTTAACGGCCAAAACGCCCCCAAACGTTTAATACTCAGCGCGGTAACTTTGGGCTTTACTAGGACGAGTGTGCACGATTGGAGATTTGGCGGTGCATCAGCGGCACAGAGACGAGGAGCGAAAACCCGCAGATTGCGCCATGCTGATGAGTGACGAAGGAATGCCTTGCACCCGGCGTTGGTCATCTGTGTTCAATTTCCGTTGAACAAACGACAAACTCTTTTAGTTTCACTTAGTTTTGCCAAATTTTTTAAGATTCTTCGTCACATTAAATCTTTAGACACATACCTAAAGCATTAAATATAAATAAAAAATAAAACTAATTACACAGTTAAGACGAAATCCACGAGATGAATCTTTTAATCCTAATTAGACTATGATTGGACACTAATTACTAAATAACAACGAAAATGCTATAGTGCTCATTTTGCAAAAAAATTTGCATCTAAACTGGGCCCAAGCACACGTCAAAGTTACGCCGTGTTTAATTTCAAAAAATTTTCCTAAAAGTGATACAGTACTTATTACATCGAATCTTGACGATACGTGTATGGAGCATTAAATGTAGACAAAAAAAAACTAATTACACAGTTTGGTTAGAAATTATGAGACAAACATTTTGAGCATAATTAATCCATAATTAAACACTAATTGACAAATAAAAACGAAAGTGTCACAGTAGCATAGATTCCAAACTTCCCTAGACTAAACACGCGCTTATTCTCCGAAAGTGCCAAAATTACGCGCGCACACTCTTTCTGCATGCAGAAGCACACAGGCAGTTGACCTCCCCCGGCCTGCGGCCGCTCGCTCCGTCGACAACTAGCCCTAACCGGGCGCACACGCCACGATTGCTCGGAATCCCCTGGAGCAGCGCCCGCCACCGGCCAGAGGCAGCCATGGCCTCGCGAGAGCGACTCCCAACCGTGCAACTAGATCGAGCTGATCCAGCGCCACACCTGTACCGCCCTCGCCCCTTGGTCCTTCCGCTCACCCGCATCCGTTTACGAGCTAGTAGGACCTTATGGCATGATGTAGCTAGTCACGCGGCCAGCGGCCGGGCATGAATGGTCCATGGACCATGACTCCACTCATCATTCGACTTCGACTAGCAGCAGTGCCTGCCGGTTCGTGCTGTGCAGCTGAGATGCAATACTACACCACCTATCCAGGGGGGGCCGATTCAGAAGCTAGCTAGCGCCTCGTTTAGATCACCTCTCAGTTTTTTCAATTACTCAGCGTATATAGATAAGAAAAATAACAATTGTACAGCGCATGCATCACATGTCAAATGAAATATCTACATCGTTCGCCCAGCGCATGTCCATGTCAGTCGACCGTTCGCCCGTCCCGTCCCGTCAGCCCGTGATGATTGATGAGATGGGCCTGGCTATACCAGTCGAATGATTGAATCCCACGAGCTGATGCTTAGCTCGACCGCCATCAGATTATATGTTCGGTATTACTGTCGTAGTAGTAGTAGCAGGGGTAGTACTGATTCTGATTAGCTGCCAATTAGGGACCGCCGACCGATTAATTCCAGTACGTTGAACGTGATCCCGATCAGTCCGCGAGAGCTGCCGCTGTCTTCCTCTCCGAACAGCCGCCGCGGAGCAGGGGCATGGACCATGATGGCCTGGCCCGTGGACAAGTCAAGGCGAGCGAGTGCTGGGCGGCTCACGGCGCGCTGGACGTGTCACGTACTTACCTGAATGAATCCATATCATCTTGGAAAGCTCATTGCATACGAGTATTTCATATTTGTATATGCATCAGCATTCAGTAGCATCGCGTTGCTAGAGCCTAGGTGGACGGTAAATGGAAATGTGTCCTCCTAGGAAAGCAGCCGGATGCACCAACCCTTTTGCAGCTGCGCTGTTTCCAGCTGCGGCTACCCCTACAACTACACCTAGCGCTACCGTAGAGTGGCCACAGATGGAAAAACTTCCTCTTCCTCGCAGGGCGGCCCCTGAATTCCTGAAACAACGGATCTGAGTACGTGCGTGCAGTGCAGTGTAGCCACGAGTGGCCTCGGTCCTAGTGTACAGCTGTAACCTTTTTCATGTTGTTCCCCACGATATCGGCGTTTCTTTTGTTTTTGTAGTTTGTACTCCGTATAGAAGCAGGGGAACACGCCTTCTCCGAGGCCATTCGTGCTTCTAACCCCCGGTGCCCCCACCGTGCACGTTCTCCGTGAGGTTTTGTTTACAGCGATCAAAGCGAGTGAGGACAGACAGCGGAGGAAATCTTCTTAACTCGTGCTCTGCACATTGCAGTGTCCTATGCGTGCTGTGGTGGTGGTACTGGTTTTTCGAATTTATGCCCGCGCTAGCTAACCAAGACACGTACACGTACCACACCTACCATTAAAATATAATCAAAGTGTCAGGAGTAGAGCTGCAGCGGAGTGGCTAAGCTGGGACTAGTGGAGAGGGCCATGATTACTGTAGCTAACAAAGCTCCCGGTCTACACCGGTTAGGACGGCGCCCGGCACCGGCGCGTGGCAAGCATTGTTTCCGCCGCGCGGCGAGTTCGGACTCCAGTGCGCGGGAGCGGTCGCTCGGCCAGGCCGCGCCGTCGCCGACGTTGCATTCTCCGCAGGGGTCAGGGTGTGACCGTGAGACGGTGAACGGTTGGGCTCGAGCAGCAGCGAGGCTCGGCGCGACGGCGAGTGGAAACCGGCGGATCGCGTCGTGCTGACGGGTGGCGAACGAATGGCTTGCGCTCGGGGCGAAAAGGCTCGAGCTCGCCTTTAATCTGCGGTACTTGCTTTGGTTACGAAGCTTCAATGCGCTGCCTCCCCTGCTTGGAACGGAAGGCAGGCATCGCAGTCACCGCACCCTTTTGATGCGAGCTGTACGCGTACAGTATACTTCCATGCGTGGATCCCTGCCGAGTCCTGGGCGGTAGATGAGAGCATAACTCCGATGGATCGACGTACTACCACGGATGGGGTGATTGGACAATTGGTTGGTCAAGTTTCAAGTTTCAAGTTTCAACTGGAAATTGAAATTGTTCACGGTAAAAAGATCACAGTCGATTCGGTTCAGAGCTTCATGTTGCCGCTGATGCCACCGGCCAAAGGCCTATCCTTTTCATGTTCTTTTGTTCCGGACAATACGTACCTACGGCGAATTAATCATGGGATGTACATTAGTCGAAGTGCTTTAGCAAAAGGTGCTTGTTTTCGGCGCAAAATAGGCCAAAGTTCCGGCCGTGCGGAAAGACCATCAGTGAGTCGAACCTGTCGGGTTTAAGCGGAGTACGGTTCGTATGGAGCGCAACCATCGATCGATACCTGTCGAGCTCGTAGTGCACCAGGACACTGCACTGCGTCCGCACGCACAAACACGCCATATTTATCGATCACCACCAGTGCTTGCCAACAGGGGCACCGAATTGACAAACGAAAAAGTCTACTTAATCCCTCAGCTTTTATACTTAGTCTACTTCATCCCCAACTATGAAACCGTATGTTTTATCTCCCTTAACTTTCTAAAACCGTCTATTTTACCCCGGCTGGTTTTCAACGGCGGCTACTACAGTAACAGCGGGTTGCTACAGTAACAGCGGTTTTGAAATTTTTTAAAAATTTATTTTCGGTGAATTTTTGAAAAATCATAGTAAATCATAAAAAAATCATAAAATAAAAAATCTAATTTTATTGATCTCCACGTGAGTTGATCTACACAGTGAATATATAATACGGTATACTTTAGTACAATTTTTTTAGCTTTAGATTAATTGAAAAATCTAATTTTGGCTGTAATTAATACTGTAGCAAATCCTCTGTTACTGTAGCAACCGCTGTCAAAAACCGCCCGGAGATAAAATAGACGGTTTTGGAAAGTTTAGGGATAAAACAGACGGTTTCATAGTTGGGGGTGAAGTAGACCATGTATGAAAAGTGGGGTTAAATAGACTTTTTCCAATTGACTTACTGTTGCATGATGTTGTGAGGCACGTGTAGACTTTTACCGTGACGTTTGCACTCCTACGGGCTACGACCTGTAAGCATGGAGCGGTAAAAACTTGCATTGCAGAAAAATGCAGAGTGGCAGGAAGCTACAAAAATATCCGTGACTAGCCCGGCTGGCGCTCGCCAGTACCGAAACCATAAGACGACAGGCAGAAGGACGCGGCCGCTCCGTCCCTGCGATAGGCACGCGTGACGCGTCTCGCCCCGGCAGGCTGCCCCCCTCGCCCCCATCCGGCCATCCCATGACCCATCTCTCCGCGACTTCGCGTCATCACCCCTCAACTGACCACTGTGCTGCGCTGCGCGCTCGCGACTCGCGCGCGCGCGCCACCTCCATAAAATCCACCGCGAGGCGGCCGAAACGGAACACCACCCGCGAATCCAATACAAGAACCCATCACCACCCTCGCATCACATGCGCGCATAGGCCCCCGGCCGCAGGGTCGCAATCACCACCATGCCGCCTCCGCTGCTCGTCTGTCTCCTCATCTTCCTCGTCGCCGTGCCGCGGCCGTGGCCTGTCGCTGGCGAGCCGCCGAGGCCGCCGGGTGCGAAGCCTCGTGCGTTCCCGCTGCGGGCGCGGCAGGTGCCGGCGGGGGCGCTGCCGCGGCCGCCGAGCAAGCTGCGGTTCCACCACAACGTCAGCCTCACCGTCTCGCTCGCCGTCGGCACGCCGCCGCAGAACGTCACCATGGTGCTCGACACCGGCAGCGAGCTCTCCTGGCTGCTCTGCGCGACGGGGCGCCAGGGGAGCGCCGCGGCCGGCGCTGCCGCCATGGGCGAGTCGTTCCGCCCGAGGGCCTCGGCCACGTTCGCCCCCGTGCCCTGCGGCTCCGCGCAGTGCAGCTCCCGCGACCTGCCGGCGCCGCTGTCCTGCGACGGGGCCTCGCGCCAGTGCCGCGTGTCGCTGTCCTACGCGGACGGGTCCGCCTCCGACGGCGCGCTCGCCACCGACGTCTTCGCCGTCGGCGACGCACCGCCGCTGCGGTCCGCGTTCGGCTGCATGTCCACCGCGTATGACTCCTCCCCCGACGGCGTCGCGACGGCCGGGCTGCTGGGCATGAACAGGGGCACGCTCTCCTTCGTGACGCAGGCCAGCACGCGCCGCTTCTCGTACTGCATCTCCGACCGGGACGACGCCGGCGTGCTGCTCCTCGGCCACAGCGACCTCCCCTTTCTGCCGCTCAACTACACGCCACTGTATCAGCCCACCCTGCCGCTCCCCTACTTCGACCGCGTGGCCTACTCCGTCCAGCTCCTCGGCATCCGCGTCGGCGGCGAGGCCCTGCCAATCCCGGCGTCGGTGCTCGCGCCGGACCACACCGGCGCAGGGCAAACGATGGTGGACTCCGGCACGCAGTTCACCTTCCTCCTCGGGGACGCATACTCCGCCCTGAAAGCCGAGTTCTTGAAACAAACGAAGCCCCTCCTCCCCGCGCTCGACGACCCCAGCTTCGCATTCCAAGAAGCGCTCGACACCTGCTTCCGCGTGCCCGCGGGGCGCCCGCCGCCGTCGGCGAGGCTCCCACCCGTGACACTGCTGTTCAATGGCGCGGAGATGTCGGTGGCTGGGGACAGGCTGCTGTACAAGGTCCCCGGCGAGCACCGGGGAGCCGACGGCGTGTGGTGCCTAACGTTCGGGAACGCGGACATGGTGCCCCTGACAGCGTACGTGATCGGGCACCACCACCAGATGAACCTGTGGGTCGAGCACGACCTGGAGCGCGGCCGCGTCGGGCTCGCGCCTGTCAAGTGCGACGTCGCCAGCGAGCGGCTCGGCCTCATGCTGTGACGCGGCCTGGCGAACCGCCGAACCGTAGTTCCCCCAGTGGCCATAACCTTAACCTGCCAAACGTTTAAGTTTGGAACCTGTTTATCCTTTTTTCATGTAAGGAAGGAAAACTTGCATAACCTTTGATCGATAGTGCGTGTGGCATGTACGGTGTTTAGTGTAAACTGGAAACTAAGGGTAGTGTAGTGATGTGCTTCTTTACTTTACTGAACAAGTAGGGTTGTATATGTTGTTTGTAAATATCAACTTGTAGAAGATGTAAAAGATCAACTAAGCGCGTGGTGTAATAAGATGGTCATGATATGTTTGACAGGGTTCAGTTAGAAACTTTAACTCAAGCTATATGTCAATCACTTGTTCTTTGATTACGCAATTGCTAAGGCTATGTTAAGAGGGCTAAACTTTGTCTAGGCTGGGCTAATCTTTAGCCTATGGGCTGTTTGATCCATGGGCTAAAGATTAACTATGTATCCTATCATGACCTATTTATCCCTAAAAAATATTCATACACATGACTAAGAGAGGGTGGTTGGGGTAATATGCGTCTTTTTGATATGAATGGACCACTTTGAGTCATTTTTAGCCCACCTTGAAGAGGCTAATAGAAAAGAGTGGACTAAAGTTTAGCACTCACCATTAATCCTCCTGTTTAGATCCATAGTACATGAGGGCTAAAAGGTTACTAAAAGATGTGGGCTAAACTTTATCCCACATGTATGTAAATAGGGCCTAAATAGTTGTGGGATGACGTCTCAAAGGCTTTTGGGAGAAATCTTGGAGGCTCTTTAGATTCTACTAGGTAGCGTGCTCGTGCGTTGCTACGGGACAACTAAAATTTTGTACTAAAAACATACGGATCGCACGATAAGATAACAATACTGTAAAATTAAATACTGACGTTAACGTGATATTTAATCCAAAAAACAAAATTTATGATATCAACAGTCACAAAGAGTGTAGCGTCGCACGTTCACCAACTCTACTTTCCTTTCCGTACATTGCAACAGGAACTCCATATTTCGGTGCAAAGTATAGCTATGCAACGATTTTATCGTACTCTTAACTCTCTTATCACCAACTTAAAAGTAACTTTTGCATCGATAGGTAATGGACGGCTGCTAGCACAATGCTATCGTATTGATATTCAATATTGTTTCGTGATTCATATTATGCCATAAAAGAAGGAACCCCGACGGGTGGCGACCAAATTACGTTAGAAAGTTTTTGACATGTACCAGTGGAATATTCCACATGGTAATAGCGGTGCATACTCTACCATCGACCATCGAGCAAAGGCAGACGGCCCAAGTAGTCATTGGCTAACATCGCAAGGCCAATCAACATTCTATCACTATACCTCAAATAAATCAAATCACTAAATAGATACTACCACAGAACCTCAGATTTTGCTTCACCCGTTGAGCTTAGTAGTCAGTATTACCTGTAGACAATGATAACAAAAAGATTCAGGGAAATTTCGTCAAACATATTACCTGCAGAAAAGAAAAATCGATCTGCAAGGTGGAGCTGCAAGGGCATAATATATCAGATCAAAAATTTTAATACAAAAAAATGGTTAAAGAGCAATGTCTATCGATATTGTCTTCACTTATGTTGCCAACACACTACAGGAGCTTGGTTTTGTTCTCTATTATTGTGTCCAATTTGCCCCCACTTATTGTCAATGTTTGTAAGATCAGTAGAAAATGCCCAGTCATTGGGCATTGCCTTTCTAGGTGGAGTTACGACAACAATATTGACATTGTTCTGAGACAACGAAGATAGCACACTGGCAATGCCATATAGTCAAACTTTGGCTACAAAGTTAGTAGTAGAATTAGTATAAGTTGTACTTATATAGGAAAATATTTGCTAGAAGCATGCAACTATAAAAAATAAGAAATACATGTACTAACTTCTCATGTTGCTCTCTGCACTGTCCATCTCCAAGAGTCCAAGGAGAAACCTTGAAGCTTCATAAAGTGATATCGTCTCAACCTACACCAGATATAAATCCCATTACCTTTTTTGACCAAATTGTGGCAGGTATTCTGCACATTCATTAAGAAGGAAGCAAATGATAATGTATAAGGATCAACGATCTTGCAGAAATCCAAGCGCAGCTGAAACAAAGAAAGAGAGAACTAGCAAAGAAAATTTGTTCTAGGAACAACAACAGGCATCCCTCCTTTCAAAAAGTCTCTTCGGGTGCATTGGTTCCCCTGTATGTGACTATGTTCTGCCTGAGGATGGTGGACAAATTTTATGGTTTGAACACTTTGTTGTCAAAAACTATAAATCCCATTTTAGTTAACTTGAGAGGAAACTAATCACCACAATACAGGGACAAATAGTGAGGCTCACCTCCATGTAGTGAAACCACAACATATGCAAATCTGCAGTAGATATAATTCTGAAAAAAATCAATAAGGACCTATTCAATGTTCAGATACATTTCCTTCAATAAGCTTGCATTGTATGGTATTTTGGATCCTGTTCTTTTTAATCTTAATTAAAAGGCAGAGCTCCCACCGCTTACATCGTAAATGGTATTCTGGAGCCTATTTTGCAAAGTAGTACGACAACACAAATCAGAAAGTAATTAATACTCACTCCTCAACATTTTCTTCTAGTTTGTGATCCATAGTAAGCAAAGAAACATCCCCACCCTGAGCATCGAAAATACAAAGAGATTCGCCGACAGAGGTAATAGTGATAGCTCATCCATCAATTATCACAAATATAGTGGTTGTGCCAGAAGTTTGCCCTGGTAAACATAAAAAGGAGACATGAACATTTGTGATAGCTTGTAGCACAGTTGTAATTGCAAAACACTCAATGCAGTAATCATGCGTTGGCTCTAGAACTCCTTGTCAGTGGATAGGCCCCATGACATCGCACAAAGACATGGTAGAGCAAATTATTCCTTGTGTATATCGTGGTAGCATTGTCAGTATGACCATTGTGGGGGGTATGACCCCGGATACCCACGGCAGACCATATGGGCTGCACCCCCAGGGGTGGCCTAGCCCACAAGATAAAGCCTTGCGGAGCACGGCGCTGCTCAGCGCGTCCCGCAAGACACCGGGAAGATATCCTGAAGATACTATGAGATCTGTTAGGATACGTATGATTCCATGATTCATGTAATCTGTTATTACTTTTCAGTTATCTCTCAGATCTAACCAACTTGTAACCCTGCCTCCCGGACTATATAAGGCGGGCAGAGACCCCCTCCAAACACACGCAATATCATACGATAGCCAATACAATCTAACAGACCACAGGAGTAGGGTATTACATCGCGCTGACGGCCCGAACCTGTCTAACTGTTGTGTCACTGTTGCCTTCTTGTTCTCGATTACACGCATCTCTGCCGATCAATCTACCTTCGTAGGATACCCCTTGGAGGACTGCCGATGATATTCTGTCGACAGTTGGCGCACCAGGTAGGGGTGTTCGTGTTGTTTCCATGTCGAACAAGATGGTATATTTTGCAGGCTCTTCGTCCCTCCCACGGCCCGGCCAGATCTTCATGGTCGGATCGATCTCCTGTATCATCAACGCTGACGGAGTCGGAGACCTCATTGAGTCGGTGCAGATCGATTCTGCGCCGATCACCCCAACACCTACGACTGCAGATCCGATCTCGAAACCGCCTCCGAGGCCATCTTCATCGACAATTGGCCGCCCGCTCCCCCGCTACCCAAGGAGGCAAATCAACAACGACGATCTGATCGCATCCATCGATTAGGTTGGCCAGAAGCTCGCCGATTGCCTCCATCGTGGAATCGGCTCTGACCACTCTGGTCAGCGCCGACTACCCTCTGATTCAGATCTATCGGAGGCTGATCAAGAAACACTAAGGGTTATGGCCCTGCCCTTTGGGCTCACCAGCGTTGTCGCCACCTATCAAGATGCCCTAAGGGGCAAATTTGCCGACCAGGTTGGAGATATCCATCCTCTCGCCGACCAGATCACCGACCAGCTCTCGCCGACTGTCAACATGCTACACGCTGGCCGGCGCCCGAAGCAACCCTCCAAACCATCCTAGAATAAAATCCAGACTCCGAGTCCCAGGGCTCTACAAAGACTGTCGCCCAAACGACCGTCGTACAACCTCCTTTCTGTCCCTTCTGTGGAGGCAGAATTTTCAATGTCAGCGTCAACAGCCCCCACGGGATGGGGAAACCAAGGAGGACCACGCCGCTCGCATCAACAGGAATGTCAATCGTGCGCAACGTTGAGCAAATGAGGCTGCCCTTGTGGTAGCCAAGGCTGCTCGCAACGATCAGCTTGACTCGCAAGGAAGGCCACGCCCACTCCAACGCAACCTCAACGATGAATTTGTCTGTGTTGATGGCCACGACGTCTACAAGACCCCAAGCACCAACTTGGCCGTGGCCGCCAACGAGCTCGTCCGACTCCCGCGAACACCGAAGGTCGCCAAGGTCGTCGCCATGCTTAAAGCGGCGCACTGCCAGGTCAATGAGATCTGCCAGGATTAGAGACCTTCCTACTCGACGAGCTCGACTCGCTGATCCACCGCACTAAGATCTAATCACCGCCCTAGCCGAAGTTGTTTCACCGACCAGCGCCATGACGATGGACAACCTCTCCAGGGTGGAGCTAGGGGCAACCGCGCCGACTACCCTCGCCAACATGACCAGGAAGTCGACCAGGATGTCCGAGCGCACATCAACAATCTCTGAGACGCGCGACATCATATCGACAAGCGTCGTTTCTCTTGCCATGAAGAAGTATGCCACCGTCAAGAATACGAGCAAGAGTTCGGTAATCCGGACTCAGCCCTCCAGCCACTCAACGCCGGTAATGTTGCAGATCACGATGGCGATGACTTCGAAGGGCCCGAGCATTCACGAGGGCACTCTGGACACTCCAGTGGCCCCGTGGTTTCAAAATCACCGGGGTCGAGCCCTACGAGAGACGAATGAATCCCACATAGTGGCTACAAGCTTATGCCACTGCTGTGTGCGCCG